ATTTGGTGCTCTTTTCACATATACTTAATTTGGTGCTCATTTCACTCCATTTTTGGTGCTCAAAACACTCCCCACCCAAAATCTTTAACTAAATCATATAAACATCTTTAACATCAACTGTTGGATTTCGATTACGCCAAGTAAACCAGAGCTACCAACCTAGTTAACAAAAAATAATAATAATTCTTTACTTAAATAAAATGGTAAGTTACAAAGTAAAGCTCCTAATTGATTTCCAGTTAAAATTCTCCAACTAGTCTGTGTTGATCCGGTGATATCTCTTTCAGTTAATGCAAATCGATCAGCATCTGAATCAGTAGGTATAATAAAATCTGCATTCTTTTTATTGGCTATTGCAATAGCACATTCAAGTGTTTCGTTTCCTTCTTCTGGATTTGACTATTTGACTGTTGGAAAATTAGGATCAAGATTTTTTTTGTTCATCAACTGAAATAAATGGTTGAAATTTAAATGCAACAAATGCTCGTTCAGCTTATAATTGACCGATGCCATGAACAGGAGTATAAACAAATTTTAATGGTGTTGACACAGTGAATATATATTCAAATATAGAATTTTTTTTCTCTCAAATAAAATTTTCATCTTTCAACAGGACCAGAAACCAATTTGGTGCTGTTATCTTTGAGTATATCTAAATTTCATGCTTTTCCTTTCCATGGTTCTAAATTAGCTTCAATAGAATCAGCAATATGTGCACATCATTTTTCCAATAAACTTTACAATCATTATTATCTTTTGGATTATGACTTGCTGTTACCATAATACCAGCTTGACATTTTAATCTTTTTTTTGGAATGGAAAATGCAATAGATGGTGTTGGAGCTATTATTGAATCAAATAAATAAACATGAATTCGTTTATGAGCAAATAAAGTTGCTTTCTTTAAACTGACAAATTCAATTATTTTCATTGATAATATCGCTTCTCTAACTTCTAGACAAGCCTTCCTATTCCTCTGCAATATGGGATTCATCATTTTTTTTTGAAATATCATTTATCTC